TTGTATAGGGGCAGATAAGATGAAAAGGCTTAACCCAAAGTCCTCGAAGACCAACTTGATTAATCTGGATCATATTTTAAAATGCAGATCTTCTTCTATGCTTGTTCTAACGGTAAATAGCAATGGTCCTCGTACCAAACCATGAGGTACTCCACATAAAGCTTGTATAGAGCCAGACAAGTTAAAAAGGCTGGATGTAAAGTCCTTGTACACCTACATGATTGAACTGGATCATATGTTGAAGTAGTTATCTTTTTTCTTTGCTGGTTCTAAGTGTAACTAGCAACAGTCCTAGTTTCAAACCATGTAGTACTCTACATTAGGCTTGTATGGAGCCAGACAAGTTGAAAAGGCTCGACATAAAGTCCCTGTAGACCTACATGATTGATCTGCAGCATATGTTGAAATACAGATCTTTTTCTGTGCTTATTCTTACTGTAAATAACAATGGTCCTAATACTGAACCCTGTGGTACTCCACATTAAGCCTGTATAGAACCAGATGAAAAGACTCGATGTTAAGTCCCTGTAAACCTACATGGTTGATCTGGATCATGTGTTGAAATACAGATCCATTTCTATGCTTGTTCAATAGATGTAAATAGCAACAGTCCTAGTTTCAAACCATGCAGTACTCTACATTAGGCTTGTATGGAGCCAGACAAGTTGAAAAGGCTCGACATAAAGTTCCTGTAGACCTACATGATTGATCTGCAACATATGTTGAAATACTGATGTTTTTCTATGCTTGTTCTATGTGTAAATAGCAATGGTTCTAGTACTGAACCATGCGGTACTCCACATTAAGCTTGTATAGAGCCAGACAAGTTGAAAAGGCTCCACGTAAAGTCACAGTAGACCTACTTGATTGATCTAGATCAGTGGTGCCCAACCTGTTCCTGGAGATCAACCCTCCTGCAGATTTCAGTTGCTACCCATATCAAACACACCTGAACCAATTAATTAGGACCTGAACACCACTTGATAATTACAGGCAGGTGTGTTTAATATGGGTAGCAACTGAAATCTGCAGGAAGGTAGATCTCCAGGAACAGGATTGAGCACCCCTGATCTAGATCTTTTTCTATGCTTGTTCTAATTGTAAATGGCAACAGTCCTTATACCAAAGCATGCGGTGCTCAACATTAGGCTTGTAAGGAAACAGACTAGTTGAAAAGGTGTGATCCCTGTAGACCTACATGATTGATCTGGATGATATGTTGAAATACAGATCTTTTTCTATGCTTGTTCTAGGTGTAAATACCAACGGTCCTAAAACAAAACCATTTGGTAGTTCACATTAAGCTTGTTTAGGGCCAGACAAGTTAAAAAGCCTCAACGTAAAATCCTTGTAGACCTATGTGATTAATCTCGATCCCACGTTGAAATACAGATAATTTTCTATGCTTGTTTTAAATGTAAAAGGCAACGGTCCTAGTACTGAACCATGCAGTACTTTACATTAAGCTTGTATAGAGCCAGACAAGTTGAAAAGGCTTGACGTAAAGTCCCTGTAGACCTACATGATTGGTCTGGATCGTATATTGAAATACTGATGTTTTTCCATGCTTGTTCTAGGTGTAAATGGCAAAGGTCCTAGTACCAAACCATGCAGTACTCCACATTAAGTTTGGATTGAGCCAGACAAGCTGAAAAGGCGTAACATAAGGTCCCAGTAGACCCACATTGATCTGAATCATGAGTTAAAACACAGATTTTCAACTCCACATTCCACATTAAACTTGTAAATTGTATATAAATGTATGCTATATTTTAGACAAGTGAATGAAGATCGTTGTAGCATTTCCTATAGTTTTAGTGTGGATGGAAGGCTTAGAAATCTTGTGAGTGGAGAATGCCATATGCAAATGTAAAATGTAGACGTACCCAAATTCTAACATCGCATGGTGGGGACTGAGTTACGTCAATGAGTGTTAAAATGTGTATGTGTGTGTTCGCTCTGGTTGTGCCTCATCCTAGCATGTCTGACACAAGAATGCCAACTGTTCAAACACAAGCCCATGAAAACACACGCTTGTGGCCACAGGGTGTGTCTGGACCCTGCTCTCCTACGTAGCAGAATGAGATACCAGCTGTTTGAGACGATGTGCTCTGTCAGCAGGCACATTTAACTGAACGTCAGTGCTATATTGGCCTGTAGCTGTAGCCTAATCTCTCATATGGGCTCTTGATTGCCCCCTCCCTTCTTTTGGTCTGTATCAGATAGACAGATGGCCTGCATGCGTGTGCGTGATTGAATTCGAAAGAAACCAATCACAGATGCTCTAACCCGCCATTTCCGGCTCTTTAGGTGCACATTTCTCACTTTGTAGCGCTCTGAATTTTAACACCGTCTGAGAAATGACATGTCACTGTAACCTGATAGACGTTTGTGCGTCTCTGTGTATGATTACAGTGCAAAGGGGCTGAATGTTATCAGTTTGTGCTGTACTTCTGATGGACCAGGAAAACCTTGAAGGACTGAATTTGTTCCTCACTTGAACACAACAAACCTTCGAATCCTGTGTGGATTTGGGTGTGTGTAGTCTGACGGTGTTAATACAATGGACAGAAAGGGTCCTGCTGCCTCCCATTACAAGGTGTTTCCTGCCTAAAACGGTGCACAGTCAGCATGTATTGCAAGAAATTTGCAAGCACACACACATTAAAGCCTTTTGAGAAGCAGTGCATGACCGATTTGACATTTGATAGTGAGTTATTTGGTGTGGCGTGAGTTATTAACCCCTGTAATCAAGCTAAATTCAACATTATACTTGGCCTTGAGTTGTTATAGAGGGTACATGTTTTTCTTGTATATAATGGTAACAGTTTATATCTGTATAGGCATCCATGTTCATGTGAGTTTTATTTCTTGGTGTAAAATGACAGCAAGAGATCAAGTTATTTGTTTATTTTTTTTACTTATTTGGATCTGATGTAATTTTTGTACTGATAAAATGCATTGGTGTAAAGGGAAATATGGCATGTGGGAGTGTTTTAATAATGCAGAACCATGCGTTGAAGTGCCTATAAAAACAGAATACACTCTTATGAATTTTTAATTTAAAGCCTTAGATTATTAATGATATATATTTTTTTAGATTCTAGTCACGTGCAAGTCTTAAATGCCTGCTGTGCGCCTTAAAACCCATGCCACAGTTAGAACTTTCTAATGCAAACACCAAAATAGGTCTGTGCTGTTTCTCACGACTGCAAGAAACCATTTAAAAGGCATTTCTTTTCCAGTTTGAACTTAAATTTCTGTAAATAGTCATGATGAGTCAGTCTGAAGTGAATGAAGACTCATTCACTATATCTAATTAGCCAAAGATAAAACTGCAAAGACCGAACAGCAGTCTGTTACTTGCTTTTGCTAGTCAGAAACCAGAATTAGATGTTCTCTTGTGAACATTTTATTGGTCTGCGTCGTCTGTGCGTACAACATGACTCGACAGTATTTTTGGTCTGCTTTCCTGGAAGAGAAGTACAGTAAATTTTAATAGATATCCTCTGAAAACCACACAACTTTAAAATGGAGATAGTTAGCATTTCCATGAACAAGCTCAAATTAAACGCAAAATCTAAAATGCTAAAACTTTAAATAGCTAAAGCATGGTGTATATTGCCTCAATGAAACGTGTATTAACCCTCTTATGGCTAATATCTGTTTTCATCCTGAGTTGTAGGCCTGTCACAATAATCAATATATCGACTTACCATGCAATACTTAGAATTGAAGTGTTTTTTCTGTTCTTTCAATCTAAAAAACAATCAAGAGAAAGTTAACCACTTAAACTCTGCTGCTATTTGGGGATTTCCGCCTGGATTTTGCCTACCCAAATTTAAAGGCTTCCCAAATCCACATGCAGAGGTGTAAATGCAAAAATTTGGTATCATTTTAAAGAAAACCCTTTGAATTTTCATAAAACACTATTGAAAGTGTTTAAAATAACTGTATATGTCGTCTGTGTTACAATAAACCCCTAAAAAAAGAGGCGCTTTTTATGTTTTTTTTATAAACTCAAATTTGTGTACCTTTTAGGTTCTGTGTGCTCTAGCGTGCTGTAATTAATTTTGGTGGTTCCTGCACATGTCTGTAATCATAGGAAAAAAGAAAAAGGTCTCTACCATGATCTATGCAAAAGTTATTGCATTCCAACTGATGAGAGGTGCTGTACAAGCCACAGAGACCGATCCTTGTTTACATATTTCACTATTCTTTTGTTCGATCAAACATAATTCACTGTGTTTGGACCACATCAGACATATAAAAGGATTACTTATGCACATCACCTCAAAAACAGAGGAGAATGGCCCTGAAGGGCACAGCATAAGGTAAGAGATGACGGCTGTCTGTGCTATCTGGGGCTGCTTATTGATCATGAATGTATTGTTTACATTTCTGCGCCATGGAAACGCCACAATTCATTCAACAACTGTTTGGCATATGAATATAATTCAGTAAAAAGAATGCTAGAACTGTATGAGCAAGAGCTTTCATTTGAGCTGTAACTTGTACATGTGTCATATGAAAAAATATGAAAATGAACCAATGTAAAATACCTAGCTCGGGTATCCAAAATACTTTGTATTTAAGTGTAAATAACTTTTATACAGTAAAATAAAAATCAAAGTGATGCATATATGCATAAAATATAGATTCTACACTTTTCAAACGACAAACAGACCCCCACTTACTGGGGTCTGGTGCAATGCTAGCCCTTTAAATCTAAAAGCGAAAGTCAATGACGTCACGGACCCGGTACCGAGTCCGCAGAGTTTAAGTGGTTAAAAAAGCAGCGCTCCTAGTACTGAGCTTAGTGGTACTATATCAAAAGTGTAATTGGCTTTAGTTTCATCATACTCTGCTCATAGCCAGAAGAGCAACTGTGTATCTTAATATTCAGAATAATAAATGCCTTTAAAAGGGGCCTTGTTGTATGACCGATAGATATTTAGAGGCTGATGATGTTAACCCAGTGTGTGCGTTTGTTTCGACAGGCCCCCCCTGCCTCAGAGGCCCATGGAGAGGATGAAGAGGTTTAAGAGACGTTTGTCGCTCACCCTGCGTGGTAGCCAGACGATCGACGAGTCTCTCTCGGAGCTGGCGGAACAGATGACCATTGAGGAGAACAGCAGCAAGGACAGCGGTGAGCGCGTTCGCTTTGTTTGCTGTGTCTATTTCATGTGTGCAGGGTCACCGCTAATGTGAGGCAGTCGAGATTAGAGGCTGATTTATTAGTATTGTGGAATAATAGCTCTGGAAACCTGGAAATGATCCACAGGAACGGAAAGTAAAGGCCGAGTGGAATCGCAGGGGATCTATAAACTCATTATAAGATTTTTTTATAAGCAGCAGTTTCAGTAAAGTCTATTAAATCAGGTAATTCAAGCTTTTGTGAAATGACTGTTGTGTCAAAAATATTGCAGTGTCAACATCTATCGCTTGACTAATATTTGAAGACCACAAATATTCTACATTCTTGCAGTAATGTGAAAACGACTTCTTGTTTACTTTGGCCCTGACCGCTGAAATTTTCACCAGGGTTTTTGACTGGACTCCTGTATTTCTTTCAGAAATGTGTAGAAATAAATCCCAGTCATTTAAATCAATGGGGGTGTACAAACCGTTTCTATTGAAGGGACAAAATCCAAGCTTGATTGAGAGCTCTGGGTGAAAGTAAATATAGCAAACTGTATTACATTAAAGTTGCCTTCCTAATTTATTTCATAATCATTCATTCATTCATTTATTTACTTGTCGGCTTAGTCTCTTTATTAATCCGGGGTCGCCACAGCGGAATGAACCGCCAACTTATCCAGAAAGTTTTTAAACATCCACACACACACACTCATACACTACGGACAATTCAGCCTACCCAATTCACCTGTACCCCTTGTCTGTGGGGGAAACCAGAGCACCCGGAGGAAACCCACGCAAAGGCAGGGAGAACATGCAAACTCCACACAGAAACGCCAACTGAGCCAAGGTTCGAACCAGCGACCTTCTTGCTGTGAGGCGACAGCATTACCTACTGCGCCACTGCCTCGCCTTATTTCATAATATCTATAAATAAATAGAAAAATACTGTATACCTTGGGAATTGTATGGCAGAACATTTTAGCGGAATTAAAACCTTGACTTTTCCTAATCGCTGTAAACCTTGAAACAGGTTATCGTCCCATGCCTACTAACAATGAAAGTACATTTCTGGAGGATGAAACTATTTGTACTTTTAAATAATCTGTTTTACATTCATATTCACAGTTAAAAGAGAAATCTTGTGTTCTTCTTGTATTACTTCTCTGTTCCCTATTTTCATGCTAAAGGATTACAAGCTCAATAAACAGCATTTGTTGCATAATTGCTTCCACAATATTTCAGTTTTGTTCCGCGCTTCTATTACTATTATTATGAAAAAACGAATCTGTATTTAGGAAGTGAATGCTAGCAATTTTGTGGAGACTGAAAGGTGTTTTTTCATCAGTAAAGTGGTGTAAATGTTTTTATTTAGTTCTTTAAGGTCTTGGCATAACATTGTAACGTTCATTTTACATGCAGTTAATTACTATTGAACATGTTAAATATGAAATATCCAGCTTTTTACTTTTTTTTAGAAAACAAAAAAACAAAACCCGTCGCACATGTGTACATTTAAATTTTAGAAAAAAATATTAATAATATTAAAATTAAATACAACTAAATAATAATAATAAGCAAAATTTATTTTACTTTTATGTGTATAAAAGAAAAAAATAATAATAAAAATAAAAAGGAAAAGTTGTACTCTTCTATAATAACTTAAGGGTCCATCGTCTTTTTGTGATCTAAATCAGGTTGCCAAATAAAAAAAAAAAAAAAAAACATACCAGTACAGCCTCTTACAGTATATCATATTTTTTCTAAGGTCAAGTGGTGTAAAAGTTCCATGCTTAAAGGTTGGAGGAGATTTTTCCTTCCAATTGAGCAATATTAACTTTCTAGCCAGAAGCGTAGCAAAGGCAATCACATTTATCTTACTTTCATTAAAACATAAAGACTGTGGTGTAAGATGAAATATTGAAATTATGGCCTCAAGTTCTATATACAGTACGTATTTAATGCATCAGGGAGAAATTGAAATATTAGCTGCCATAGGTCTTTTAGTTTTGAACAAGACCAAAACATATGAGATAGTAGAGCAGGCTCAGCGTTACATCGGTCGCAATTAGACTTTACTGCTAGTTTCACTTTGGACCACTTTGTAAAACTCTGTTTTAAACTAATTGAAGATGAGTGAATATTGTCTAAAATGGATTGCCACATGTCTTCTGATAATTCAGTCTCCAGTTCCACCTCCCATTCTCTTTTTAATTGCACTGGGGTAAATATATAATATATTTTTACTATTTATTTTAATGAATTCATTTTTTTTTAATTGCACATGAAAATCATATAGATTTTTTGTTTGTTTGATGTGGTTCTATTTTAAATAGTAGCCCCATAAACTTCCACCATAAATGTCTCCTTTTATGAATTTTTCTGCTCTACTTAATTTTTTTTTTCTCCAAATGAATCGTTTCACTCTTTTCTACACCCACAGTATTTGATTTTCTCCAGGTCACCTGTATTGACCACACTGCCCCGTGTTAGTCACCCTGACACAACCATTTCAAGCGTTGCGTTAAAAGCTGTCAAGCTGTCGTTCTGATCTGTCATAACTGAAGTCTGCGCTATTTTTGTGACCATAAACAGTGCTGAGCCTGGATCGATGCGAAAGAAGCCTGCTGTCATGCTTCCAGTCATCCCGAATGCCAAAAGCATTGCAACTTCGGCTGAATGGAAAAGAAACGAAGCAAAAAACACTCCTCTTTTTCAAAGGGTTCGCTAGCTAGTAATTACGTAACAGCAATGACACCCCTGTGAGGAGAACGAGAGGAAGAGAACATGTGACAGCTTGAGAGAGACGGGCTAAATTAGCTTTGGTTGCCTTCAGGCCAATCTGAGGGATGGACAAAAATTACAGACAGCGTACAATGAGACACTGTGTAAACTGGAAGTCAATGTGCTATAGTGCGAGTTACAGTTTGTTCCCGTTTACCTTTAATCCCCTGTGCACCCGCCAGTTGTATTACAGTAACCGCAGTCATCATAAGTGTAGATTTGACTACCTTGGCCATTCTGGACGAGACCAGATGGTCAGGTTTAATGTCCTTTTCAGAGCACCAGTGAACAAAGAGTTTTAAGAGAAATGCAAGTGTGAAAACGAGGGCAAATGTTTCTGGAATGTAGGATTAACTGAGTTTTAGAAATGTCTTTTTTCTGTTAAGCGAGCATAATTGACCCTGAAATATCACTGAGCACGAATCAAACAAAAAGCTTTGATCCAAAGCCAAGCTAATTAGAAAATGTTACTGTTTTATGAGGTGAAGATGTATTACAGCGTATCCGCGGGGTCTTAAAAGGTATTAAAAGTTGATAAATCAATGCAGCGAAATTCAAGGCCCTTAAAAGTATTAAAAAGTCTTCAATGCTATTTAGTATTGCATTTAATATCATTTTTGATTATGCAGTGTATTGTTGTATGCTAAAGTTTGCCTGAATATAATCTGCGAATATCAGGATGCTGCGTAGTTTATGAAATCAGTGAAATCCTACTAGATTTGACATCATGCTGCTTTGTTTACTGCAGTAACTCAGGCAACACCATTATTTCTGAAGTTCTGAATGCGCCAACCTGCTGAATTAGCTAGATTTAATAGAGTTTTATTCAGTATATGAGTAATGTTTTAGTTTTTAATTAATTTCTTACATTAATATTTAGTAAGTATGCTGTAAGTTAAAATCTGGCCATTGTTTACGGTTAAAAAGTGGTTATAGGGTTTTAAAATGTATGGAAAGAGTCTTAAAAAAGGTGTTAAAGGGTATTGAATTTCACTCTCTGATTCCTGTTTATACTTTGTATTATATCAGTGCAGTGTTATTATTATGTCTGCCTACAGTTTTGTCATCCACTGCTTTACAGAAGGGTAGATTCTGATTGTTTTTCACCGAGTACGTTTACATGGACACTGATTTTCTGATTTTAATACGATTAAGACAATACTCTGATTAAGAGTCTAGCATATAGACAGCGATTATTGATTCATTTAATCCGATTAAAAATCAAACTAAACCGAAATTGATTTAAGACATGTGGAGTATGCCGACTTTAGTCGCGTTATTGAAGTGCAGCACAGACATATAAACACTGCAATCAAACTTGTGTAGGATTTTCACTGCATTTCGCGACAGGATATTTCATACACAGCGGTTTGACACTATCCTCTGTACCTACCGAGTCATTAAAGGACCACAGACAAACACACCATGAAATGCGAAGGTTTTTTTTCTTCCATTTGGCATGCGGTATCAATTTCCATTAAAACAAAACTCTTTCAGCAGTTCATACTATCATCCAGTATCTTGTTTGCCACTGAGGGAGTGCACGAAGCATTAAAGAAAGGGTGGCTGTAAGCATGAGTGAACATTTTCTGTGCACAAGCCCTTTTAGCCACCAAGCTTTAAAAAAGGGAGAAAAAAGCAGCAATTCTCTCAAGAGACTCATTTGAATGCCTGTTAATACCATGTGTAAACAATAATACATCTCTACTGATCACTTTTGATCAGATCTAGGACTGCGCAGTATTGGAAAAATACGACATTGCGATATTTTGTTTTGCTCCTATATATCGCAATATGAATACGACTTAAATGGCTCTATTTGGAAATATTTCATTCATTTAGATCATCCAGGATGATCAAGTATTTTTCTAGGCAGTGTGTTGGTAGGAAATATAATAAATTACAGGCATTTCTAAATAACTCTGGGGAGTCTAACAGCATTTAAATACAGCACTTGAACAAACCTAAATTAACAACTCATCATCATTATATAAATAAAAATACATATATTTAACTATATCTTTATCTTTTAATCTTTAATAAATCTAATCCTGTTAAGTGACGATGGTGGGTACACACATTAGGATATCGATGCTCATCTCTGATCAGATCAAGCTGATGTAGTTACACATGTAAAGTCACTTACAAGATTCTGTCTGCATTGGTTTTAGCAGCAGTGCCAACATGCTCTCTCACATCTTTCCTAAAACTATCCTCATAGACTAT